TCCTCCTGGACTTCCTCCCCCATCTCCATGGCTCCTGCCCAGTCTTCCTTCTGGCAGAGTCCCCCCTCCCCAGCCATTTCATGGTGTGTCCTCAGGGCTCATTCTTAGGCTCCCTTCACTGCCTACAGTCCTCTCTAGATGATCTCATTCCCAGGTAGGCAGATCTAGACCTCAAACTTGGACCTCTCCTCTCAGCTCCAAGTCTGCAGATCTAAATGCACACTTGACATGGCCACGTGCACAGCTCAAAGACATCCCAAGTCCAAGACAAAGTTAACCATCTTGACCTCAAAGACCTAATTCTCATTCACTGTTCCCACTTCCTTGTGAATGGTACCACCATCCATCCAATTATGAAGGCCAGAAACTCAGGAAACCTTTGACCTCTTTTCCTCACCCTCCGTATCTGTCCGCTTATCTTGTGGATCTTACCTGCACAGTCTCAAGTCCATACTCGTCTCTGAACTGATTTCTATCATCCTCATCCAAGAATTATCATTTCTTATGTGGACTCCGAGAGTTCAGGCATCAGTGCTTGTTTCTTTCTAAATCATTCCCCTTATCATAGCCAGAATGGTGCTTTCCATTCCCACCTCACTAAGCTAAAACCTTGAAATGACTTCTCTAAATTCTTAAGATAAAGCAAAAATCTTAAAAATGGGCTGTTAGGGTCTGCCTGATCTGGTCACTCTGAAAGTCTCCGGCCTCACTTCCCTCCACACTCTTTGTGCTCCAGCCACGTGGGCTTTCTTTGGTCCTTTCCATTTATCCCAATCCTTCCTGCCTCAGGGTCTTTGCACATACGCTCCCCACTCACCTTTGCCTGATTAACAGCCTACATGTTAATGGCCTACAGAGCTTTCAGATAGTAGCTCAATCTCATGTTTACAGGGAAACCCAACCCTCTCTCCCTCCTTCAGGGCACTTTCTACACTGACAAATTTACGTTTACATTTTTGGATAACTATCTGTCTCCTCCAAACCTGTAAGCTCTGTGAGGTCTGAGACTCACCCAACGCCCAGCACAGTGCCAGGCACAGAGTAGTCACTTAGTAAATATTTGTTGAATGACTAAATAAAAGAAAGAAGGCGCTATGTTGGGTTCTGGAGATGCAAAGAACAAGGCCCAGGACTTCCCAGAAAGCAGCTGGTTGTCGATGAGGGGTGGGAAGGGACAAGCAGATGAGAGGATGAGTAAACAGACCCAGGGTGTAGAAATGTGATGAGCACATAGCAGAGGAGCAGGCCAGAGGAAGCAGTGATGGCTGGTCCCAGTGTCCCACCTCCAGATGAAGCTCAGTCAAGGAGTCTGTGGACTGGTTTCTCAGCCCTCAGGGCCCCTAGTCCCGCGATGTTACTGATATGCAGTCACCACTGTGTCCACGGCCACAAACCCTGCAGGGGCACTGTCCTCAGGAACGGGCACACGTTGGGCCTGTTGCAAAGGCAGCGTTATTAAAGGCTCTGGTTACAATAAGAGCATCATGTGCAGCCTTTGAGTCCGATGGGCTTCTGATGCCTTCCAGACAGTGATTTCATCATATTCTCAGATTAGCCCTGGGAGGCAGCAAAGCGTAATGATTTTTCTCCCCACTGTACAGCTGGGGAGACTGAGGTCAGTAGAGATCACTTTTCTTGGCCAAGGAGTGAGAACAGCTCAGGAAGAGAACTTGGAGAGAACCCAAGGCCCTCTCTGCGGGGTCCGCCCCCCAGACCAACTGGCAGAGGAGGACACCCCAGACCGAGCGTACATTGTAGCAGCAGCCTGCAGGCTTGTTTACTTTGGTAAAGGACTTTTCATCAGAAGGACGTTTCATCATCTCTTGGAACCACAGAATGTTAAAACAGATGGGCCCTAAGAGATCATCTGATTCGACACCCTTGTTTAACGAGGGAGGAAACTGAGGCCAGAGATATGAATCTCCCTTCCCCTCCCTTTCCTTTTCCTGCCCAACTGATGCTGAGCAGTAGGGCAGAGACGGCTAGCTGTTTACCCAAGTCTCTTCTCCCCTTCTAGCCTATATGGCTAGACTATATTTCCCAGACTCCTTTGCGGTTTGGTGAGGCATGTGACCATGTCCTCTCTAGTGAGATATAAGAGAACGTGCAGCCTGGCCCATCAAAACCTCCCATCCGCACATCTCCATATTCTTTTTCACCTCTGGCTGATCGGGATGTCAATTCCAAGGACAACTTTGGAAGCTGTGCATTAGAGAATGACAGAGCTGCCACAATGCCGAGGCCCTGAAAGGCTATATGAAAGAAAGCCACCCCCTGACCTGAACATCAGTGCCTAAGGCTGTTAAGTGAACAGGGAGAATAAAATATCTACCACATGAAGTTGCTGCATTTGGGGAGGCTCTCATACAAGTAGAGACAGGAGAGCCCCTGCAAAAGCTCTGACCACATACAGCGTTGGGTAATGGACATAGAGGCTCACTGATGATTTCACTGTCAACCACTTTGGAGTGGCCCCTCTGGAAAGGCTAGAGACCTGGCTCCTAACTCACTCAATCCAGGAATCTGGTCTGAGCTGGCTTCCTACCTGTTTAATTCTAGATCAATAGACTCCCAGGGCTGGAATGGACCTGGGAATGTCATCTGATTTATCCCCTTGGCTCCTGACAGGGCCTCTTCTAAGCCCTCTGAGATGACCAAAAATCTTGTCTGGATTTTTATATCCCTGGGAAGGAAACACTCCAGATTCCTTAGACACTTGTTTTATTTATTTATTGCTATGGTGTCAGAAGGTTCTTTACTGAACCCTAAAACAGCAGAGCTGGAGCATTCCTTAGCAATCATCTAGGACAATCCTTGTTTTACAGATGAGGACACTGAGGCCTAGATCACACAAATAGTGGTAAAGTCAGGACAGGAAGCAAGGGCCCTAAGATCAATCTGACTGCTCTTTCCAGGGTTCTATCTGCCTCTAACTCTCTCTTGCTGTTTTCTCATGTTCTGCCTGGGAGGAGCTGAAAATATGCTGGGGTCCATCTTCACTGTGATCAATCTTTCCAGGTTCTCCTGTGTTTCTCCCCTCACCCCTCCCCTCACCTACCCAGCTAACCCGAAATAGGTCCTTCTCCTAGGAGGCAGAGAGAAGAGCAGAGAGGTGAATCTATGCCTAAAGGGGAGGCAGGTGTGACAGGTGCATGTTTGCTCCTTGAGCCTCGGTAGTAAAGACATCTCTGAATCCACACCAAAAGCCTGTAAGGGTCATTAAATCCTTAAATATTACTGGTTGCCCAGGAGGGCAAACTGGGCTATGTGAAATGTTGTCTGAGGAAGGAAGGGAGCAGCAGTGACCAGAACCTCTGAACACAGTGTCTTGGCTTATTGGGGGTTTTCTGGCTGCATTTCGGCAGCTGGGGGCAGTCCTGCCTTGTTAAAATGAGAGCAGGATCCCAAGAAGTCGAACTGGGGCCATGAGCGCAAACCGAGTTTCTTACAGGGGTGTTATTGTATATGGTACTTTCTTGGAAAGACCTGGAAATTCCATGTGAGAGCACTGGAAAGTTGGGTTTGTTTTGTGGCTCTTTAAAAACAAAACAAAATAAAACCAAATCGTTACTCCTCACTCCACGATTTAAGGTGAGCTTGTACATAGAGAGCATCCTTTATGTTTTCTGCCAAGTGACTCACTTGGACTGAATCACCAGAGAGTGGGCCTGGGTCCATCTGCAGCTGCCCTGGACACCACAATCTGCTCATTAACCTGAAGGGGAAGTCATGGGGCTCAGAGACAGCAACTGAGCGGAGCAGAGAAATGGGGTGGAGACAGGCCTGAAAGGGAAGTCCACACTCATAGTTTCCCGAGCATCTGGTGGTCAGACGCAGTCCCTAGTGGAACTGACGAGATCCCCAAGGAGCTCCAGTATTCATTTCAGTTGAGCCATTATCTGGATTATTGCAAATTCATAATTGTGGGACCAGAATTAATGATGCCACATGGTCGTTCACAGATAAATCCCTTAATCTTTGGGTCTAGCTTCAGAACCTTGAGCAAGTTGTCCTTTCATTTTGAGCCCTTCTTTCTTCACCTAGAAATGCAGAGGCTTACAGTCTAAAAATTTAGACATTTTATTCTTTATTTACCAAGAAAGTCTGTTTACACAAAACCTTTGAATCTCTCCTCCGAAAGTGTCCATTTAAGATTCTGGGATCTCTGTGCATCCTCTGTTTAATTTGCGATCTGCAGCCCTTTTCCGGATATGAGTTTGCCCTAGCCCTGTCTGAATTCACAGTTTTCTTTTCCCTGCAGCCTGTTTGGGTGTCCTGGCGGTGACATTTCTGCAGAACTCTGGTGTGAGCCAAAGGCAGTGGTGGGATGGGGATGCGGATGGAATCCGGGCTTGAGAGGGCGCAGGGAGGGGCATAGGATGACTCCCGAGTTGGCTGCGGGGTAAGGTGTTAGGCTTGGCCACCGCCGGCTCAGCCCCACCCTGGGGACTGGAGGAGAGGTGGTGGGAGAGGTGCAGGGGGTGTCAGATTAGTAAGGGTGGGGAACAGGGCCCCAGGTTCCACTTCTCTCGCATAGCAAAGCGCTTTGTATGATCTAGTTGGTGCTAATTATGTTCCCCAGCACCTGCTTTTCACCCATGGGCTGTGCATTTAAGGAGTTGGGAAATTCTGGTTCCGGATTCGGAAGACTCCGGTTTTCTAAATTTTCTGCACATGGCAGGGCAATACTAATTGGGGGCGGGGGGGGGAGGGGGCGGCGTGTGTGTGTCTGTGTGTGTGTGTGTGTGTGTCTGTGTGTGTGTGCCCGAGGTTGCTGGCTCCGAGGACCTCCCCCCGCGGTCCCAGGCCGGCGCTCGCGGGCCCGGCCCCCGCCCCCTTCCTGCCCTCTCCCCGCCCCCGGCCCGGCCGCGCTCGGCCGGTGATGTCAACCCGAGGAGGAGCCGCCCGCCCCGCGACCCGCCCGGGCTAATCAGCATGTAGCGGCGCCGGGGCCGCCTCCGCCGCGCCCGCCCGGCCCCCGGCCTCCCTCCTGCGGCTCCCCACAACTTTTGAGGCGGGGACCGCGCTCTCAGCCTCACTTCGCTCACTTCCCCGGCCCCGGGCAGCACCCGCCGCTCGCTTCCCTCGCACCCGCGCCCGCCCCGCGCCCGCCCCGCGCGCCGGGCATGTGAGCGCGGGCGGGCGCCGCCACCATGGCCTCGCCGCCGCCTCCGCTCCTGCTGCTGCTGCTGCCGCTGCTGCTGCTGCTGCTGCCGCCGGCCGCCCCCGGGACGCGGGGCCAGCCGCCCTCTCCGGGAGGCACGGGGCCGGCGGGGTCGCCCGAGCCCGGCCCCGAGCGCGAGCTGCCGCCGCCCTCGGAGCGCCACGGGCCCGCGCCCCCCGGCCACCGCCAGACGACCACTGCGCCGGGCGCCGCGACGCGGCTGGGACCCTCGGGCCGGGCCCCCGGAGGCAGGAGCGCGGGTGAGTGAGAGCCGGGGACTGGCGCCGCGCGAGCCTCGGGCTGGGGGCGTGGGCGCGCCCGGGGCCGCATCCCCCGCCCTAGGCCCCGGCGCCGCTCGACCCCGGAGGGGGCTCCGCTTCCCCGGGGCGCGCTGGGACCCAGCGCGGGGGGGCCGGGCGGGAGGGCAGCGAGCTGGGAGAGTGGTTTCCTAGCCGCTTTCGCGGGTGGCTGGACTTGGGGGTGTGCCCATCCTGTTCTCCCCCCCATCCCCTTGGAAGAAAACTTATCTCGCATGGTGTACCCCGGACCCCATATACACCTACCTTAAAAGAAATAAAATTTTTAAAAATCCACACCTTCAGAAAGCACCTCTCCCACTTCGGAGGTGATAACGTCCGACGGGTCCATTCCCCAATCCCATTCTTCTATAGATACAGAAATAGGCCTCTTCTGGTACAGAGCCTGACTTTCAAATTTAAATAACTGATTTTTTTAAAGGGTTCTAGCCCTGAGGATATTTGTAAAGGACAAAGGATGTAGTTGGAAACCAAACACTCTGCTGGCTCTCTCTAAAGCAGAGAGACTCGCAGGAACTGTGTGGAGATGGGGCTCCAAGGTGAAGCCCAGCAAAGCAGACGCTGCCACAGGGCTGTCCCCGAGCCTTTCCTCCCCTTTCCTTTCCCCGTGAGCTGGGGCTCCATGCACAGCCCCCGCCTGTCGACTCAGAGGGACCTGCCCTCTCTCCTCCGGACGTTTTTATTCAGTTCCTTCTTTGGGTCTGTAAGAAATGCTAAGGACTGAGTGGAATTCCAACCGTAATACCATTGTGACCTTGGGGATGTCACCTCTTTTGATCTCAGTCTGTCCATCTGTGAAATGGAAGTAATGATCCCTGCTCTTCCCAGCCTCCTGGTGATGATGTGACAAAATGAAAGTAAAAATAAGTGGAAAGTGCTTTGAACAAAGCCAGCAATGCGGTGGCGTAAGCTACTGCCTTCCTGTGAGTGACACAAGGCATACGTTCTCGCGGGTTGTCCGGAGAAGCCAGGTCGCTTGAAACAGTAGGTGTTGTCTTGGAGTTTAGGTGAAGGCTGAGAAGCTTTCATCTTTCTAATGGATACTTCATTTAAGCCTCTCGTATCACACAAACTTTCTGGGATAGGAATTAGCTTGCTTCGTTGCACCTAGGGATGCTTCCTCTAATTAAATAAGAAAAAAGCTTTAAAAAAATCCCATCAGATCCTCCAGTAAAAACTCAATTCCACATTCAGTAGTAATCCCGTCATTGCAGATGCCTTGTCCTCGTGAACTTCTCCCTCACTGGCACAAGATTGAGACACTGAGGAACTGTAAGGGAAGAGAGAGGGGAAGGAAGCTTCCAGACCTACGAGAGAAACAGTCACCATGACTGCAACTCTAGGTGACTTACAACATCCATCATTTTAAGTTCCACAGGAAGGAATCAAAAACATAAAAGACAATATTTCCTGGCTTTCTCACACTACAAGAGTAACCAAAGAATACTGTGCAGAAATTTGTGCATCTTCTAAATGGGAAGTGGAGTGCAGGGGATTGAGGCCATCTCAGGAACTAAAAGCAGTTTCTCTGGCTGGAAGTCAGGCTTTCTTAGCTGTAGGGCCTGATCTTGTTAGTGGAGGGGTGAGAGTGATGCTGACTTGCGGGGGCCTGGCTGGATGAGGCTGGTACAGGAGTCTCCCTCCTTCTCTCGTGGCTGAGAATCCCCACACATCACAGCTAGGTGTCACAGGGAGAGAGACAGTGGAGGCAGTTGGCCTAGGGACTCAGCAGGTAAGAGTTGGGGCTGATCTCCCTTGCTGGTCACAGACACCCCTCTCCCCCGCAACGCCATATGTGAGCCACACTTCCTCACAGGTGTGGCAGGTAACTGCTAATCCTGGCTTTGCAACCTTCCCAGTTACAAAGATTCATTAGGGGAGGTGAGAGCAATGGAGGTTTCAGGTGCGTGAGGCTCTGGGGGAATGCACCTGAGAGTCCCAGAGAGCAGGTAGGCAGGAGCTGGGGTTGTCCAAAACTTCTCTTACCTAAGAGGATCTCCCCTGGGACCACCACCCCCTCCCCCGCACTGTGCACAGACACCACCCAAGGAGTGTCTGCACTTCACCTGAGCTAAGGCGAGATCTCAGGTAGGATGTTAGGAAGGTGAGATGAGAAAAGAGGAAATTGATTACCTGTTGAAAACTTCTAGAAGCTACCAACATGGCTTAGGATTCAGGCAGGACCTGTGCTGCCTTTCTGGTGGTGGCCCACATCACGTCACTTAGAGGGAAAAAGAAATAATGAACAAGAAAGCATCCAGTGATTTCAGTGAGTCCACGTTTCCTAATAACCTCTGAGATTTTCTCTGGACCCTTTTCGATCGGCCACCATGTATCACAAGGTGCAATCAGTTATTTCCCGAGGCAGCCAAGTCTCACCACTGCAGGGGCCTCCGGAAGCCCTCTGGTCCACACAGCGTCCCATGTGGTTATCTGCCCTCTCGGCACCCCTGACAGATGGCCACCCGGGCTCTGCACCGATCTTTTAATGTTTGGGGAGGTGCATAACAGCAAGCTGCTGGTTATGAGCCCTGAGTCTTAACAAATAAGGTGCTTCGTTTGATCTTTGGTGAAACTGCCTGTAGCCCCTTGTGTTGCGGAGATGCTGGTGGTCAGTGCTTGGTCCTCATGGCCTGGGCTTCCAAATATGATGTCAACAGCAGGGACCAGAGAATGTCCTTTTCTTCCCTGGGGCCATTTCTAGCCCCTTAAGCTCCTGGCAGGGTTCGAGGTTCTCACTGTTGAGGAACCGTGCTTGCGTTCTGTCTGTCGGTTGTTTGCCTGCCTTAGACCTCAAGTCCCTGGATGGCAGCACTGCCCCCCTTTGTTTGGCCTTTGATAAGCTTTTGCACCCACCTGGCACCCGCGGGCCGTTAAGCTAACCTTGTTGCTGGTGTTTCAGCCAGTGGCGGTAGAGAGGATGCCAAGTCCTCGAGGTTTCCTTTTTCTTGCTGTTTTTGTTTTGAACACCTCAGGGCTTGTGAGCCACAGTTCTGCCTGCTTAAGTGGATACGCTTTGACTTTCGTACTTCACAGTCCACGCTTTCGCTCTGAGATCCGCAGATGAGCGCGGGGGTGGGGAAGAGGAGGCCTAAGTCATGATGAAAATCAGTGCAGAAGGAAAGCACTTTCCCACCCAAAGGGGAAATGACGCTAACGAGCTGAGCAGCCAGACCAAGGAATAATAATCTGAGAAAAATGCAGCTCCCTGGAGTAAAGGAAGCGCCGTGAGCCCAGCCCCTTCTGGGCTGTTACATAGCTGTCCCCTGAGTTGCTGTAACTTTGTGGGCCAACTTGTCATTTAGCTTTAGCTGAGGGGGAACCCTTACACAGTGCAGTGAAGGTCTGGGCCGAACAGGAGGCAGCCCCCTGGCACGAGAGGGAGCTTTCCTCCGGGCATGTCCCGGCCGAGGCTGGCGGCGGTGGTGGTGGGGATTTCTGAGAAGCCCTCTTGCTTTGATGGAGGGTGCCCCAAATAGAAGGAGGGATGTGGGGAAAGGGACTCATCCTGGCCCGTGTGTGTTTAAAAGCCACGTTCTTTTAACTTCATGCTTGCAAATGCTGAACAGCTGTTTCCTGCCGGAGAGCTGAATGGTGTGGGTAGGGTGAAAATGAAAGGTGTTTGCTGCCCAGCTAGCCAGTTACTGCACCCCTAGTCCTGGACAGCTGGGGAAGGAGCCTCTGCCCTCCCAGTGATCCCCTCTGCCTTCCAGCAGCCCTGCCCAGCTGGCTGAAAACGGTGTGCTCAGAATTGGCCTGTTGTCTCAGAGCTGCTCAGAAAGAAAGCAAAGCACAGATGGCAGTTGAAGTTTCTGAGCCCTTATTGCCTCCTTCAGTGGCTGCCCTCTGTCCCCACCCCCTTTTGTGTGAACGGGAGGTTTCAGCTGCAATAAATGTGCCCCCCTTCAAGAATCCTAAGGAAGGAAGCAACAGGGGAGATCAGTTTTGCTCCCTCTTTGACTTCTAGCCTTTGAGCACCTGTGTGGTTGAAACTTATTCCTCGTCCCATTTAACCCTCAAAACAACCCTGTGAGGGATATCACTGCCCTTTTACAGTCGTGGGAACTGAAGCCTGGTGATGTTAGATCAGACAGTAAACGGAGGAGGAGGAATTTTAATCGATTTGACCAAATCCGTTTGCTCATTCCACAGTATCATGCAGCCTCAGTTTTCTCATGGGTTAAATGGGGTGAGAGTTGCCTAGATCTCTAAGATCCTCTCCAGTGCATCGTTCTTCTTCCTCTCTTCCTCAGATCCTTGCTCTTGCCCTTTTTTCAAGAGTGAGGACTGTAGGATTGGGATGAGAGACAGAATGAGGAGGTGGCAGTAGTAGTGGGGACAACCTGCAGAGGAGAGATCTTATAAACGAAGATGGGACTGCAAGTCTTTCTACATGTGTAAGATGGTATTTTATTTGGAGATTGTGAATTACGCCCTGTTTCTATGCCAATCCGTAAGGTTATTGATGCCAGAGGTAGCTACATTCATTAGCAACCAAACTGAAATGAATTGGTGATGTTCTCAATGGGCTCTCCTGGGAACAGCGCTGGTATTCTGAGGAAGTGTTATGAGTACTTATTCAGTAGGAGGAGACGTCAAATGGTTCCCTATTCAGAGGCTGTAAAATTGTTTCCTTTTTAACTTCTATGCCCTCTTCTACCCATTCATCGTGCATCTCGAGCAGATAGAAACGAAGATGTTTCTGTCCTGTCTTCTCTCTCTTCTTTTGTTGGAGTGTGGTACGTGACTCAGTCTGCATCATGTTTGACTGATCTGTAAATCAGAAAATATGTACAGAGCTCTTTCTCTGTGTGAGGAGCTGTGCCAGGTGACAGGGAGGGTGAGGTGCAAGTCTGCCATGCCCCCAGGGAACATGTAGTCTTGTTGGAGCACAAGATCCAAATGTCTAAAAAGTGAAATGATGTTGCACGAGTGATTCATCG